GCAGGGATTAACACCAGGCAAACCATCAAACAGAAAACAATGCCCTAATCAAGGAACTACCAAGGAGAAAACCACACCCCACCAAAACTGGCAGGGCAAACTACTGTATATAAACAGGGAGCAAACCCCACACTACTCACACTGATGATGTTACCTACTTGGGTAATGAAACATCTTCAAGCAAACAACCAAGCTCAGAGAGCACCAAGGGCTCCATGGACTCAATATAAAATTCTTATATTTTTTTAACCTAATCTGGCTCAGTTACATTTTTTCCATGATTACTTGAGTAGTCTCAACTGAACTGTGAAATTGCTGATCATCTTGAAACCTCTTTCTTTTTCATTTTATTTCTCAATGGGGTCGCTAAGAGTAAACAATGACTTGATGGCACATAATCAATCAATCTGTTGATATTCTTGACTGAGCTCTCTTTTGTCTTTTCTTGATTGAGGTTGAAAATCTGCATAAAGTGGTATGTCCTTCTTGTTACCCAAAGCTTTCATCTACCATTTTCAACCAAAGTATAATTTCTGTGTATGAAGTAAATGTTTCACTCTGTTCTGCTTTGGTCAGATCCCAACTTGACTATTATGTCCAGTTCTAGACACTAACTGTAAGAAGGATTCAAAGAAACTGAAAGAGACTTAGAGAAAGGCAACGAAGGTGAACAAGGGATGAGAACACCAGAAGAGAGAAGAGAATGAAGAGAGATTAAAGGAGCTGGGTAAATTTAGCCTTGACAAAAGATTTTTGAGGGGGGAATACGCTAGCATTCTTCAAATACCTGAAAGGACATCTCATGAAAGCAGTTTTCTCTTTTGATCCAGTATGCAGGATACAGAATAATGCAATTAAGTTACAGGAAGGCAGATTCCAGCGGAATGTTAGAAAAACTTCCTAACTGTAAAAACAGTTCAACAGTAGACACATTTATCCAGAGAGTATGTTCAAGTGGAAGCTAGATAGCCATTATCTTAGAGATGGCTTAACTTAGATTCCTGAACTAAGCACAAGGGTTGGACTTGATGACCCAAATGGCCCAACTCTGATTTTATGATCCTTTCTTGGGTCTGAAAGCTGCTTGGGTCTTTCCCTCCTTGAAATTTAGGGAACTTGGCGGGGGGGGGGGCTGCTCAGGTTCTCTTTGACACAGATTAAGGACGTGGGATCAGTTCCCTATATTATTTATATATTTATTACACTGACTTGTGAGAAATATGCACTGGTCTATAATCCAGTAAACAGCAGGATCATATCCATTAGAGTTAAGGGCTATCTAGTGAAGATCAGCATTCTCCACCCCCCCCATCCTTTACCTCTTGTAGAGGGTCCCTAAGCTTTCGCTGTTGGGAAGACCTCAGGATAGTCAAGAGATGGCCTTGAAGATAAGCAGGACCTGAATCAATGTAGAGCTTTATAGGTAAGCACTAACGTTTGGTATTAGGCCTGGAACCCTACTGGTAACCAGGGCAATGACTGTAACACTGGTTTATATTAACAAACTGGTATGTTCCTGTCAGCAGCCTGTAGCTTCTGAACTGCCTTTAAAGGCACCCTCATGTGCTGGCACACCCAATCTTTAATTTCCCGCGTTTGACAGAAATTGTTCACGACCTGTTCCGCAACTGACATCTGGAAATATCTTGGCTCCTGTGTTGCACTTCTCCATCTTCGATGAAATTTTGAATTACATAATTGGTTTGATTTTGGCGTTGTCCATCCAGTGATGACCAGCTATAGAATCAGCTCCTGTGTTGCTTGAAGCAGGCGTTGGCAACAAACAAAAAAACTCTACTAACCTATCTCCTGCATGGTTACATTTATCCACTCTAAATCTTCTTATAATTCCAGTTTCCTCCATTTCTCCAACATTTGCATTTCACTCAGCTATTAGTTTTTAGAGGGTTTTTTGTGGATGTGAGTGTGTCTTTGAGTCAGTCTTGACTCCTGGTGACTGCCTGGACAAGCTGCCTGCAGTTTTCTTGACAAGCTTTCAGAAGTGGTTTGCCATTGCCTTCTCCTTCCTAGGGCTGAGAGTGAGGGACTGGCCCAAAGTCACCCAGCTGGCTTCGTGTCTAAGGCGGGACTAGAACTCACGTTCTCCTGGTTTCTAGCCTGGTGCCTTCGCCACTATGTCAAACTGGCTCTCCATTAGTAGTGATTTCTAAAACACATCCTTTCTAGACGTTGCATTTAGTATCTTTTGCAATTGGTTACAAGATTCCTCAGTGGCTTCCACCACTATCTTGATTACTTATATAATAGTACCAGTGTTCACTGAATAGCTGTTCATTCTAATGGATATGCTCCTGCTGTTTACTGGATTACAGACAAGCACATCTTTTTCTACACTTTTTTAGAGTACCAATGCCATTCCATTGTTTCACATGGTCCCAGGCCCAGAATAGTGTATCAGACCTAATTTAAAATGGCCCATTCTGGTCTATTTAATTCATTTATTCCTACAAATCTAATTTTGTACAATTTACGCTTTGACGATCTCAAGATTCATGCTTTTCACATTGCATGTTCCAACTATAGGTGTCCTCTTTTAATACTGGCACCATCAGTGACCAGACTTCCTTGTAATTTTGGTCTGACTGTATCATCACTCTCATATCTACCCTTGAAAAGTTCAACACTCTTTCTGAGTCAGAGAATACCTGATTCACTCATGATGGTCTCATCATCTGGCATCCAAACTCATCTAAATGTTACAGCCTTGTCTACTTGGTATTTTTGGTAAGAATACAGAAGGGCTTTGCCACTGTCTTCTTCAGGGCTGGATTTTGGAGTTCCTGAGCTTCGGAAAGTTTATCACATTTATAAGTTGCTTTTTCTCATGCCAGCAGAGCCCCACCTGTACTCATCCCCCCATTTTAGATTACTCTTAGCTTTACCCATCCCTTTTCCATCTTAGCACCTACCAAAAATTCACACTCCTGCTGGTATGGTTCTCAGCATTACCAAAGCAACTGAGCTCTTCTATCAGATCAAACGTGCATAGCACTTTCCCAACCTGGTGTGCTCCAGATGTCTTGCCTACCCTGGCTGGCTGGAGATGTCAAACACATCTGAAAGGGCACCAGAGTAGAGAACACTGAAGGAAAGCATCATAGTGAATGACTGCATATGGACAGAAATGAGCGAGAGAAGGGCATCAGAGTGAAAAGAGGAGTTGTGCCCATTCTAAAAAATACACAAGAGAAGGTGAAAAGTTCATAATGTGGAAAATTTGTGAGGCTGCAGGTCAATTCATATATCACTCCATGCCAGAAGCAGATTTGTATGTTTTGGTTGAGCAATGAATCCAACCTTTTTTTTTATAAGCCATGCTTCATAGCCCAACATAATGTATGGTTGATTCAAAACACCATGATTTAAAAATCATGGCATAACTCAATATGTGAACCTAATTATTTGTCATTTTGTATTGTTCTGTAGCTGCCATCAAAGGTCTTAGACAGTGGAAAGGGCCTTTGTGAAAGGATGGAGGGGCAACATGTTCTTTGAATCTCATCACTGTCACTTTCTTCTTAATGCAGACTCTGTCAGTGTAATGTTTTTCTCCACTATTTCTTATCAACTGAAGTTAATAGCCCAATAAATGAGTACTTGAATGAAAAGCATTTCAAATACTGAGTGATACTTTGGAGAGTTTAGGTCAATTTCTCCCACTCTTTACCCAAACGCCTTGGCAGTGGTTTTTCTCATGTCCAGCTATTGGATCTTCTTTTAAACTGGAACAGTCAAGAGACCTTCTACATGCCAAACAGATGCTCTTTGATTTTCTAAGCCTCTCAACTTTGAACACACTAATTACAGTATTTCCAACCTGTAATCCAGGAACCCCTGGTAGTCCATGAGGATACTGGAGGGAGTTGCCACTAGGCAATGACTGTAAAAATAACTGAAAGAAAATGGCACCAAACTCAAGGATCATTACATCTCACATGATTCTGATTGTCTCACCCTAACTCTTGCATGACAACACTAATATCCAGGGACATCTGTCACCTTCATGAAATTTCACCCATTTTAAATTGTAAAAAGAAGAGTTTAAGATAATTTTTATTTAGTTTTGGGTTCCTATGGAAACATCCAGGGGAGTGATATGTGTCATAGGACCTGCAGCCACCCCACTGCTGACCTCTGATTATTATGGTGCTCCTCAAAAGCTTTTGATGATGTGGTGGTGGTACACATATCAACAAGGGTTGGGAACCACCGTATTAGAGCACTGTAAGGACCAGCCCTCCCACAGCATTGGCATCCTCTTGGATGGCAGCTCTGCCAAAACAGCCATTTGGAAGGCACCACTTGAGGAAGTCTGGCACGTGGTTGTGTTCACACAACACACTAACGGCTTGAGACTGCACACAACACCGAGTCACACAACCGGGCAGCCTCAGGTGGGAACCCAAACAGAGATGTAAGATCTGGTGAAAATCTCCTGCCACGGTGGCTCCATCCTGGACAAGCAGGTACAGCTGCAAGAAGGGCATGCAATGGCCGAGGCTGCAGCAATCGGGAGGGGAGGCGGACCGGGGCGCTGGTTGCAGGAACTGGTGGGGGTGGGGGTTACTCTCACCCGTTCGGCCCCTGGATCGCTGCCCGCTCGGAAGATCCGCTGGTGCCGGTGCAACTCCTCTTCTCCCGCTTCCACGGAGCTTCCAGGGCGCCAGCGTCAAAGCCTCGGAAAGCCCGTCTCCTCGCAAATCGCGCGCAGCCCGGGGCTTGGCTCGCGGCGCCCCTCCGTCCAGCCCAGCGGCGGGCAGGCGGGAGCGAAGACCCCAGGACGCCTTCCTTCCCTTCCCGCGGCAAACCCCCGCAGGCATGAAGGCTGCACTGCCTCGGCGCGCGGATCAGCAGCGAGGAAGCCCCCCGGAGCTCTGGGGACTGCTTCGGGGGAGACTCGCAGCGCCCCTTGCCAAGGAAAAGATCCGGGTCAGGCCTTGGATGAAAGGAAGGGCAGGGAAGGGAAACGGGGCGGGGGGGAGGCGGAGGGGGGAACGGCAGCGCACGTCGCCCGGACTCTCCCTACTGCTTTCGCGGACGGGTTTCCCTGGGTTTTCCGCTTCCCGTCACGTGACTGACACCAAGCCACAGGCCTGGAAAGGCGGGGCTGGTTCGATCCATCAAGGGGACCGGTTACAGGCTCCGCCCACCGGCAGCCCGACCGCCTCGCGGGAAGCGCCCGACTGAGGAAGGCGGAGGGTGCGGAGTCGTTTAACGGAGGCGCCAGAAACAGGATTCCTCGGTGCCTGAAGGCGTCCGATGGGGGAATACCCGATTTGGTCCAGTTGAACTCATAACACCTGATTTGGTCCAGTTCAGCTTATAATACCTGATTTGGTCGATTTATAATAGCTGATTTGGTCCAGCTGAATTCATAACACCTGATTTGGTCCAGTTCAGTTTATACTACCTGATTTGGTCAATTTATAATAACCAATTATTTGGTCCAGTTCAACTCATAATACCCAATTTGGTCCAGTTCAATTTATACGTAGTTCACTAAAAGCCGAACTGGAGTTTGGAGTGTGCAGTGGCCGCAGGAAAGGTGAATAAAATACAGTACGGCTGTAGGCTGCATTCACAGAGCCAAGGGTTTCACTCATAGGAATAATTCTCTGTATTTGCAGTGGCCTAGGTTGGCAGCAGGATTTAGTTGCCCGTGGCTGATTTTAGAAGATAACCAGAGCCAGCCTGCTTACTATTTGGATGGGAGAGCAGGAAATACTCAGGCTGTAGGTTAGACTGATAATTCCAAAGAAACCACCCTAAAAAAAAGGAATGGCAAATCAATTTTCTGCTGTCATCACAAAAACACATGGAAGTGTCCTGAAGTCAAGCAGCTGAGCTCACCTCCAAGACTTTGTCTCTTTTGCCACTAGTCAAACACATCGCGGAGTACTATAATAAAGGCCATCCAAATGAATCCAAGAGACTGAACTTCACTTTTCTTGATACATCTTGGCTGTTTTCATACATTTCAGATGTGTTTAACTTTCCTGTAGATCCTTCCATTAACTCAATTTTCTGGGTTCCCATGACCCACACACATATAATCACATGGGCTAGATTTCCTACAATACACCAAGCTAAAATGCACTTTACCAGCTTGTGGTTCAGTGCGTCATAACCGGTCAGCCACTTTCTCTCTCACCTGGCGCTGAAGACATAGTCACACATAGAAAATGGATAAAATCCAGGCTTCCATTGAACGAGGACCAGGTGACTGGACACTTTTACCCAACAAAAGACTCCACTCACTTTTACACAGCTATTCCATGTGCATAATGTAATTTATTTTTCAGCCTTTAAGCATAAAAAACCTACTCTGCCAGTGAATATGCAAATGCAACACAACAGTGTTCCCAAATTAAAGGATGCATGACTTGGGAGTTATTCAGTCCTGCAATGTAAGCCTACTCCCACCTTCCCTTACTGGCTGTTATTGATGGACATTGGAGTCCAACTTCTGGAGAACATTTTCATGGAGTTGAAAAACATCCCAGTAGTATCCAGTGCACAGAAAACTGCTGGGAACAGACGCTTTTGGCAATTTTTCAATCCATAATGTTGGAAAGAAAAATGATTTAAAATTGCACCCAAGAAACAAGATTCCTCGGGAGGGAATCCCATTCTTCTCCAACAGCAAAAATGTAGAGAAGCATAACAGGACAAGAGCAGTGACATCTATCTATGTACTCAAATGAACTGTTAACATCTTTATTTAAAAAATGGAAAGGCTGGGACTGAAAAATGTCTTTCAGGGGATTGACTTTTCACACCAGCAGTTCAGATGGTCAACACTTCTTTTCAACAGCCACTGTGCCATTATACATAGGAAGAGGCGTGATTAATAGACCCTGGTGTCTGGGCCAGAAAAAGAGAATGTTCAAAGAATCCAGCATTTTAGGCCAGCTCTTTTGATAATGTCAGGTCTTCTCCAAACATATTAGGGCACTTCTAGCAATCTTCAGAGAAGATGCTAGCTGATAAAGACCACTTGTACACAAAGAGTGAATAATAAGTTGTGATTATGCACTTTGGGGCAGCAGCAGGGTATAAAACTGCATTTGTCCAAATAAGAAATGTGTTTTTCACTTGCTTGAAAAATTAAAACAGAGTACCACCTTTCTCTACAGTTGGGTTAGTCTCTTGCAGCAAAAACAACAAGCAGTCTTGTGGCATCTTAAAAACTAACAAATTTATTATGGCATAAGCTGGCTGTGCCGTCTAGTAAATATTGGGCATTGTATACAGTGCTAGAAAAAAAAGCAGGTTTAACAGAGCTTTGTAAACAAGAATAAGGTGCAGAAAATAGCACCGGTTTTCTCAAGTAACGTAACAGAAGAAACCTTGAACGATTGTATAGGAGTAAATGGAAGTACTGAGGTAACCTTGTCAACATTTGAGAAGGCTTGGTGATCTGTTCTGTTGACAAGAGGAACAATGCAGCAACTCAATGTTCTGTGAAGACCAACCTTCTTCAGAGCGGTGCCCTCCTGCAGACTGAGAATTCTGGGAGTTGTGGTCCCAACGCATTGGGAGGGAGCACCAAATTGGGGAAGGTTGCCTTCAGACTATTATCGGCTACTGCTATTGGAGTCTGCCCCCCCGGGAGACTCTTCCTCATTCCCAGGCTGGCTTCTCGGTGAGGGAGGAGTCTTCTCTGACTCCATGGGGATGGGGGGCGAAGGTGCTGGTACAGGACTTGCACACAGGGATGTCCCACGTGTCCCATCGGCGGGAATGGGATTGGGGAGGGAGGGCTGGGGAGCCGACACGCGAGCGTTTAGTGAATCAGCAATGTTCTCCAACAGAGTTGTTTGCCTCTCGAGGGCCACGGTGTAGCTCTCCATGCACCTCTGGAAGGCAGCATCAGAATCACGCATGGCGGCAGCCATGGTTTGGCTAGAGACTCGGATGCTTTTCGCAATGTGCTTTGCGCACCACACGGCGACTTTGCGATCGTCAACCCGCCTCTGCGACTCCTTACTATCAAGCTCATAAAGAGCCTCACGGATGTTCTCCCCAGTTTCTCGGGTGGCATTAATTAGCTCCTTCGCCAACTGAACTCTCTCAATTTTTCTCTTGTTCCTGAACCGGGCGGTTCTCTGCGCACTGGTCAGCGGAGCATCATCTCCCAGGCCTCTAGCAGGTGGAACACGGTCAATTGGCGGCCCTACCCCACCCTCAAAGCTGGCGTTCAGATCCTTCCGTCCAATGTTGCCCAGGGGAGCGCAAATGATGTCGGAGCTGTCGAGCGCTTCCCCCTCCTGCTCCTGAATGAGACTTTCAGCTGAGGAAGAGGAGAAAGGAGACTGTCAGGACACAGAAAGGAGACCAGCGCTGAACACAAGGCATTCTCTAGCCCAACAAGGAGCACACACAAAGGCTTGAAATTCTTAGGACTCTTCATTAGAAAAGATGGCTAAAAATCCAGTAAGAAAATGAGTCTGGGTTGGAAAAATTGTGCCTGGCATCAAAGCCATGTCTGGACTGGAGGATGAGACCAGTGTGGTGTAAGGGTTCGGCACCAGGCTACAAAGAGGAGACTGTGAGTTCCAGTCCTGCCTTAGGCATTTTTGGGCTAGTCCCTCTCTCTCAGCCCTAGGAAGAAGGTGACAAGGGCAAACCAAGAAGAACTAAAGGGACTTGTGAGGGCAGGCAGGCAGACAAACGAACAGCACCAGAGTACAGTCTCACAGAATGGGAGCACTCTTGCAATGTAGGGATGTTAGCTTGCTCCAAGAATTCTCCTGAAGTTCACTTAGAAACAAGTCATTGATCTTCCCTCTTTTGGAAGGAGAAAACTCCAATGTTAAAATTTAAAATTCAATCCTTAACAAGGCATTAATTTCTTATAGCTAGAAAACCAGGAAAAAGTTTAACAAGTTGGTGGAAAATAATAAGTTGGTGGAAAATAATTAGAGTTGAAGAAAGCCAAATCCAGAGTTTTCTAGCGCTTAGAGGGCAATACACTTCAGAGGATACAGATCTAGAAGAGACCGAATGGCAGGTTAAGGCAGCACACAACGAATCCAGTATTTATGGCCAAGTCAAGTTTTCTTACCTGTAGATAAAGCTCTGGATAAGGGATGTTCATGTTTGGGTCTTTCCTGGTCATGGTTGCTCTCTTCTATCCCACCAAAGGATGAGAATCGGTCCCCAAAACACTGTAGTAAATCCACAGGCAAGTCATCCACCCCTTCAGTCTCATCGTACGGTTCTTCTGAATACTCTGACAGCACGTCTGGGTCAAGGCGGGTGGTAGTTGCCTCTGGAGGTTCGCCATCATCCACAATTTCTCTTTCAAACTTGGTATCAAAGTCTAACTCAGGATCCGGACCGGTTTCCTCTTCCTCCTGCTCCTGTTTGACCTCCTCACACATGGCTGATGTGACTGTGATGCCATTCTCATCGATAACACGCACCTCCATGGGGAGGTGGCTTCCTTGGAGCACGGAGCACATCGTGTTGGGTGGGTCCTCTTCCTCTGGCGACTGCTCCTCGATTTTTGGAGTGACGACTGCAAGCTGGTTGGGGGCAGGCCATGGAGATGAATGCCCCCGGTGCTTTTGCATAGCCAGGCTCCGGTTGGGCTGCAAAAGAGGCCGGTGGCAGTGAGTCGGGGACACTGTCCCAGCCTGGAGAAGGCGAGGCTGCTTCTGAGGGGGCTGCTGGAGGTGGGATTTGCTTTGGCCGGCTGTCCCAGTGGACCTCAGCCCTGGCGGACTAATTAAAGATGGCCTCGCAAGTAAAGCCGCCTGTCCAGATGTTCCAGGAGCAGGTGAGGAAGCCTGCCTGGACCATTGACCCTTATCGCCACTGTTGGAAGAATGCTTGGCGTCCCTTCGACTCAGCAGGATTGTGGCCAGTTTGTCGTAGAACGGCATGGTTCGCACTTCGCCGGCGCCAGGGCATTTGTTGTGAGTGGTGACCTCCTTAAATTTCTTCTTCAGCGCATTCATCTTCTCACGGCACTGGCGAGCCGAGCGGTTGAAGCCCCGCAAGCCCATTTCGTTGGAGAGCCAGTTGAAGACCACCTCGTTGTGGTAGGTATTCTGGAGTTCATTCTGGACCTCTGGGCTGATCCAGAGGTCAACAAAGAGCCCAATCTCTTCTTTGCTCCAAAACTTGGCCCTTTGCCTTTGGGACTCCTGAGTGTCTTTTGCAACTGCAGGATAATTCGGCAACAGGGGCGTCCGGCCTGCCAAGGGAACACAAAGGAGTGCAATGCAGATGATGTTGTTGTTGTTAAGCTTCAGAGGTTTTAGAAGACTCTGGACCCAACCAACCCAGTTTTTGTGTTTGGATGCCCCCTCACATTTTATCAAAAGCTCTTCTTACAATGAGGTTTTCATTCACAGAAATGACATGGTTTATAATGGTGTAAATGACATAAATTTGGAGTTAATGGACATTTGGATTTAATGGATAGGCCCTCCCCAACCCCAGTCTGTTAAATCATTATTTTGCTGAATGTTAAATACTCTCTCAACTGCCATTTGGGGCAAATTGTCTAGGACAAAGTTGGGCTTTCTTTTTTGTATCACATCTAAAGGCTACCTTTCTTCCAAGGAGCTCAAGGCAACACCCAGAATCCTAATTTTCTGTTCCCCAAAAAGCCTATTCACGGTGAGAAAACTGTCTCATTGTCTCCCGGGAAACTGATGGATGAAGGAGGACCAAAAACCTGGGACAGAAACTCTACTGCCAAGCCAAATGAGAAGTTCTGAAAACTCCCTCCAGGTGGGGCTTGTGGTCCCATGAAGCATTTTGTTTCTGCTGGCAGCTCTTGCCAACACCTCAACAGAGGGCAACACTAGGCTGACCTTGTATGGATTCAGAAGCTAAGCAGGGTCAGGCTTGGTTAGTATTTGGATGGGGGACCTCCAGGGAAATCCAGAGCTATAGACTAATAGGAAACTGCATAGACATGTCTATGAAGTTGCCAGGAACTGGACATGAAGGAAACTTCAAGCTCAGGTTAAGCCAGTATAATAGAAGAAGCTGCATCGACAAATCATGACTGATGGCAGTCTTACAAGCCAATTTCAAACCCTGGTTGAACAAACCATTTAAATTAAACGCAGCATATAAATTACAAAATACTACAATGCCATTAGCAAAGAGAGAAGGCAAAAATTGAAGAGAATACAAAGCACGTCTTCCCTGCAGATCAAGACCTGGTATGATAAATGCAGTTTCTGGGTCAGGGATTTTGGTCTGGAGTAAGGAAGCCATGGTCCTCCAGAATCTGGAGGCCCTGTTTTCATCAGTCCTGGCAAGCCAAGTCACCTTAGGGCAGAAGCCAGAATGTTCCAAGAGGAGTTAATCGTTGTTGAGTCTTATTGCAATAGTGACCTATTTAGTCTCCTACAATTGGGTGGATGGCCCATCGTGCACCACCACCAACAGCTCTCCAGGCCAATCCTATTGCCCATTCCAGTGCAGTGGCTGAGCCCAGACTGTTTCCAAAGGTTATGCACACAGATCAGGACATGGTGAAATTGTGGGTGGCACAGGCAGTTTTCATGCCAGGAGAAAACAAGGAAAGGCCCCCTGGATGGGTGACTACTGTCTCTTACCCAGCGCCATGACATTCTGATAGCTGTCCTGCATGGCTTCTTTTGGGAGGGGTCTTTGTACCCGTTCAACAAAGTTCACTTTGCTTCTGAGAAACATATGACCGCATCATGGGATGTCACAAAGCCCTGGAAATTAGGAGGGGGGGAACAACAATAATTCAGGACCTGCTATCTCAGTGCAAGGTGGAGTGATGGCTGGAACCACCATAAACTTTATTCTTCTTCACACTGTTAATATAATATCAAGTCATTAATATAATTACTCCCCAGTCCTATATTAATCATTTTCCTCTGGTGTCACATTAAAAAAATCACAATGGGGTAATGACTTTGGACAGTCTCTGTGGGTCATACCCAAGGCCTTTGGGCCTTGTGTGGGACCTGGAGCCCAAGACCATACTCCGTTGCTCTAAAAGTATCAACTTAACTAGCAAAACAAATGAAATCATTTGAACTCCCAGCCCTCGTTATTTAAGATGTATAAAGGACAAAAAGAGTCTGCTATTTTCACCAACAATTTAATCAACTAACATTTTAATAGATTTATCTGGAAATATCTGTTTTAAATTGATCATACAGCCAGTTAAAGGTGCATGATCTGAGATGTGAAATTGGGCTGTAAAAGAACTGTCCCATGGATCCTGCTAGCAATATCTATCTATCTATCTATCTATCTATCTATCTATCTATCTATCTATCTATCTATCTATCTATCTATCTA